CATTACATAAAAGGAAACTGAGGATTCCACAATAAATAGTTTCTCACCCATGGCTTCCTGATTTAAGTCTCCTGGCAGTTCTCTGGATTGTCATAGCACGCTGGAAATTGGGTGCAGGTGTATATGTCTGTGTCCATGTCAGAGGAGCCACAGGTGACAATTGACTTCAGGGGAATCGGTCAACCAGCATGCAAGGCATTGGTGGGTGATTCTCAGATAGGCAAGACCCCAATGGCTTCGGCCACAGAATGTCTATTGTTACTGCTGTGCCTTTACATGTTTGCTGCTGCTGTTTTTCCCTAGTATATGGCATGGTGTGAATGGGTATGGGGGAATCCTCACTGCCTTTAATGTAGTGTGATTATCTCACAGAAATATTCTGTTCTACAGGGCATTTTTACATGTGAATTACAAAAGTGATTTCCTCCCAATCTGTACTGTTTAACTGAAGCGATGATTTTAAACAATTATAGTGTTAGTTTAAATAGGAATTTGATGATTGAGGGTCTTTAATAAGTATTGCAAGGGATTATGATAATGGCTCTCTTAGTGGGAAAACTAATATAGGTAAAAGCAAGATATGTTGTCACCCCCACCCCTAATAAAGCAGGGACTGCAGAGGATAGAAAATAAGAAAAAGGACATGTGACATAGCTATTTTCTCTTGAGGAGCTGTATAGACTGTGCCTTAGGTTAATGATTAAGAAAGAAAATTGTGTACCAGAATCTAAGATAGCTCAAGTTCTTTTAATCTTAATGTTGAGAACTGTGTTCATTGGTTTCAGTGTGCATCATGGCTGAAACAAAGTTTTAGCTATGACTTAAGTTAGGTTAAGATGTTTTTGTTGATCTCAGTGGGCCTCCCTAGCTCTCTGCTTCCTCCCCTTCTCATGTGGTCTTCACTTACCATGGTCTCCTATTCCTTGTTCTCCCTCTCTTTTCTTGATCCAGCTAGGATCTCCCGCTCTCTTTCCCTCGACCATCGCCCTTCATTGGTCCCACTCATGTCCAGGCTATTCATATAGATCTCATCCATTTCTCCGTGTCTTTTTTGGGGTCCTGTTTTCCATGTAGCCTCACTGGTGATGTGAGTAGCAGTCCAGTCATCCTTGTTCCACATCTAGCATCGTCCTATGAGTGAGTACATACCATATTTGTCTTTCTGAGTCTGGGTTACCTCACTCAGGAT